AACCCAACTTCACAGCAGAAGGGTTGTATTTTCGATGTGGGGGACGCTTCCTCAATAGGTGGGCCACCTATTGTGAATCGATGGGCCTGCAGTCCGCTTGGCTGCCTCAGCTTCTCCACTGCTGCTCTGCCCTAGCTTTCGTCCCAGTCCCTCCTCCACAAGTGTGCGTTGATGCAAGCTAAGCTTTCTCGGTAGAGTCGGCTCTTGACAGCATGACATGCTCAGTGTGGGTTCATGCTCTCTGCAGACAACTCTGGCCAAAAAGCATCTGACCTCTAGTCGCCACGATCCCAATGCCATCTCTGGATATGCCTGTGACAAACATAGTCAAGCAAAGAAACTCGGAGTATCTCCACGAAGTCCATCACCATAATTCACCAGCCGCAATTTCGACCCAAAGCCGTTGAACCCAGCACCACACACTCTCTTGTTTGCACCTGGTCTCAGGTGTTAAGCATTTTTTCCTCGCAAGTCGACGTGCACGCCGGCGCCCCATGGTTAACACCACAAAAGAGAAGGTCAAGAAGACAGCTGAAAGCAGCAGGCCGACTTGAGCCCTAGACACGACGCGAGTCGGCATTTCTCATTCTGAATTTTGCTTCTGAGAGAGGCTGATTATTTAATGTGTAGGGCGAACAAGAAGGGTGCACGTCATCCTCCGCTTTCGAAACCATGCGGTAGTTGGGTCGATGGCACCAACCCGGCTACCTCGCACGAATGTTCTTGTCTTGCATGGATAAGCCTGAGGCTGGAAGACTTCCATGCACTTGCTCGTTACAAACAACTCTGGACACCGGAAGATCACGTGCCTCTGCGGTCCTTGCATCTCGCATGGTATCTGCGGACACAGCCTTGATACTCAGAGCAGAAGCACATGCGTTCCATGTGTGTCGATGGCTGTCTTCTCTCCACAGTCTTCGGTATGTGGCGCAAGAAGATGTTCAACAACGCCGAGCCGACGAGCGTGGTGCAGTTGGAATCCTCGGTTGTGCAGGAGCCGTGGAGTCGCCCCCGAGTTCGGTCGGTCGCTCGTTGGTGCAACTTAGACAAACGTTGCAAACACAGTTCGGCCTTTGTGTCTTGGCTTTACTCAACAAGTGTTCCAAAAGCGCATGAAAGACGACTTCCGAGCTGAACGAGTAGCAGCGATGTCTATCTCGAAGCAAAACCGTTTCAATCGCCCTGGGGCTGAGATCGCAGAGTTCTGTTTAGAGGTACTTAATACAAGCGGCGGACGGGTCACATTCGAGGTTGTGTGTCAGCTGCCGTGCTCAGTTGCCAACGCGAGCAGTACCCATCAAATCCACGAGTGGCAGAGACAAGCTGGCCTCGAAGTAGCCCATGCTTTTTGCTTTCGTAGTCATGTTATATCTCGGGCTTGATGCAGAAGCCCTTTCTCCGTGTCAGCCGACAGACTAGCAATGGTGAGTGCGATGCTGATGCCGAACATGAAATGCAACGCAGGACCGAACGGGTACAAACAAATCGTTTTTGCAGCATTGCTAGAAAGGCATTTCTTTGCAATAAGTTTCGGCTACAGGCTTTCAACATCAATCATGAAGGTGATGCCAAGCTTCCCGAAGCTCCGCCAAGGCCGCCTCCGGCAGAGTTGCCACCGCCTTCCCTGCCTTTGGGTCTGTTTCCCGGCCAGGCGAGCTTTCGTAGCATCTCGCAGCCTTGCGGCCTTGCCGAGTGAGGGTCCTGGCTGTTACAGGAGTTGCCACCAATTCCCGAGGCAGTGTGCAGAGCATTTGTGTTCGCTTCGCTGGGACCAGACGTCCTCGGGTGCTTGTGCAGGCCCCGTTGGAGATCACAGCGCCGCTGCCACCAGCAGAGATAGGCAGGAGTGGTTGTTTGCCGGGGTTGATCCATAGGGCCTTACAACAGGTCTGGCAGATGCAGCACCCTCAGTTATGCTGAGTCATTTTGTGCAAACGAGATTCTACAAACGCTGACAAGGTGCCTGAAAAGCAGAAGCCCGTCTCGTTCCTGCAGCAGGTCCAGCTTAGCCGCTTCAGTTCTGTTAGCCGGACAGATGCCGTGACACATGCACACTGACTTCCGGCAGAACTTGCTTGCGGCAGGCATCTGCTCCGGTAGCCTGCAACTGCATTTGCTGAGGCCGTGGCTAAATTCACCACAAGTGGCATGTGAGCACAATGCAGATGTGCAGATCTAGCGGCATGCAGAGAGCCGTTCACAGTGTTCTCTAGAGCCATCGAAGCACAGCGGAGTTGAGCAAGGTCTGGCGGCGCAGTTCTGATGCAGGCCTTGCAGACTCCAAGAGCGCAGCTCGGAGCGGAAACAACAAATTACTGAAGTCGTACTCTGGTCAAGCTGCACCCGGTGTGAGCATCCGTGACCGATCCGCTGGCTCTGAGGCTACTCTGCCTGGGTCAACAAAAAAGCAGTCAGCAAAGACGGCAGCTCGCAAGCCTCGACAAACCTGCGGTGACTCTGACACAATGCTTCAGCTATACCTTAACATTACAGACCCCAAGGCCCCAAGTGATCTGATAGAGATGATGAAGCCTTTACGGGACGTGAGTATCTTTCCGGCACACATGCTGACTCGATGTAGGGCGCTTGTGTCAAAGACAACAAGGACCGAAGCTCAGTGAGAATTCTGTCTGGTGAGGATTCAGGTAGATCGTGGCTAACCTGCTGCAGGATCTTTGACCCCGTTTCCAGAGTATGCAAGGCAAGCTTGCTGGTTCATCGGTGGCTGTTGTGTTTGCTGCAGCACGTTCAGCGTCTTACGAGGCAACTAGCAACTAGCTTGAAAGCTATGCTGCCTGCAAAGTCATTGTGAATGTTTTTAGGGTTTGGGGTTTAGAGGGTCTGGGGTTTAGGGTTTCGATGACCGTTGCATTGAGCTTCGAGGCTGGATTGATTCACTGAAGTGTTTTGTGATCGACACTGCAGCCTCGGGGTGCCATTCGGGCTCATGCCGTCTTGTAAATATCCCTCGCAGGACAACTTGAATCCAAGCTCTGGGTTCTGTTCGGCGTCCCTTTGTGCACGGCATCGCCCCAGCAACATTGAACAAACCTGAAGCCGAGAGGTTTGGTCTTCAGAGAAAGCGGGTTCATATGAGAGTCTGCCCAAACCGAAAACGCACGCCGAGACAGTCTTCAGGCATGGTTCAGCGTCACACCATGTCACCAGGATTGTGTGAGAAAATTCACCACGTACCTTAACTTAGAGTTGCACGCCAAGCGAGCCCCGAAATGGCGCTTCAGGCACTTCGCGATTCAAAGAACGCACAGCGAATTCATCCCACAACGAGAGCATAATAACTGGAAGAAGTTGCAAAGTGACAGGTGACGATCATAGCTCCAGCTGGCAAGACACATGTGGTTCCCATCTGAAGTTTGGCCAGGTGCTGGGACGCATTTACAAGGCTCATTGCGAATGTTATGTCTTGCGGGGAGATATGCTTGCAGCTGGACTTTGGAGCGAGGATGCCCCCACCTTGTGCCTCGTGGTTACTTCGATACTTACCTTGCTGATTCTGCCACAGACCGAGACTTTCAGCGAAGTGGCGCAGTATGGCGCAGTGGTGCAGCGCCGAGGCTGATCATCCTCTTCAGCACCTGCATCGCGCGCCTCACAGGCACGCGCGGCGCCATTGCCCGGCCCCCGGGCCGATCCGGGCCGGCGACTGCACCGTCTGTGCCACGTCCCTCGTCAGGCGGTGGACCTGGTCTTCCTGTGGCTCTTCGCCCGTCTCGTCGCACGCGCCACGAGCTCATCATGAGGGGCCTCAGAGGTCCATATGAGGCTGCCGTTGAGAGCTTGCGAGGCCTTGATGTTTCCCGGTTCCCTGAAGCTCTTCCAGCGGAGCACAGAAGCAAACTACAGGACGTGCGGTAAGCGGCGCTGTGGACGCAATGTGGGTAACGTGCATCTAGGATCTAGGAACAGCGGAGACGACCTTCTGCAGGACAGAAATAGCACGCCACTACATCATAAATGTTCGCCAACTCTGGATGTTCCTCAGACATGTCTGCATCTTGGGAGCTGCAGCTCGGCATGCGGACTGCACCTGTCGCTGGTGAAAGGCAGCCCATTTGTCGGACCATGTTCGGGGTGTCACGCTGGAGGGTTTGGCGTGGGCCTCAAGACCTTCAGAGCCACCGTGTCGAGAATCACTGCAATCAGGAGAAGGCCTGTGCTGCCGTCAACAGTTTAGCCTGTTCACTCCGAACACAAGAGCAGCACGAGGCAAGAGGGCCCTTTATGCCTGCTGGCGAAGCTTCTGGGATTCGAACCTCTCTGCCCGTAGGTCAGGCTCACTGCTGAGCAGCGCGAGGCGCCGGGGGGGGGGGGGCTCATGTTCTGATTTGCTTCTGACCTTCTGCGACATCTGGGCTTGCAGCTTGTGCGCAAGGTGTTGGACTCGGCGGAGGACAACTTGCTGCAAGTTGTGATCCCGGGTTGGAGCTTCCAGCAGCACCTGATGGGCGTGCTATGAGCAGGATCTGGGACAGTGGCTGCACACTTTGCAGGCAGGGAAGACTCGAATCTATGAGTTGGAGCATCTGCAAAGTGCAAGATTAAGATCTCCCATGCGCACTGCAATGGGCGCTTATCGTCCCTGCTACTGAAAAGTTTGACCCCCGACTGGAATCGGTGAACTAGGATTATCATCACGGCATCTCTGCGCTCATCAGCCCTCGCTTCTGGTTGGTCCTCTACAGGCGCTAGTCTAGCCCGTCGCCGGACACACTTTACATGATCAAGATCCGTGTGTTCCGTCAGGCACAATGTATGCGAAGACAAAGCATGACTAACCCGCAAGCAACCGGAAGGTCCTGGGACGCAGCCCTCAAGCAACCGGACACAGCACAGGAGAAAATGGGTCGGTCACGGAGGCAGTGACGAGGAATCGGCAGTGACGAGGTCTCAGGGGTTCCTACCAAAGCCGTCGAGCTGGGAGGTCGCAGTGTCGCGGAAGGCATTGATCCTAGCTCTGCTCTGCCTCGAAGGCAACGTAGCAACACAGCGCTGCTCAAAGCCAAAACTGAATCGGAACGGGAAACCACGTCGTGTTGATGTACCTTTGAAGTGAGTTTTGATTCGGGCGGCAACATGACAGCACGCTTCATTTCATTTCAGCAGGCCAAACGATGTGCAGCCCCGTCACGCATTCAATCTCATGTCAGGTGCAAAGCCTGCATCCGCGAGGCTGGTTGTGTTTCGGTTTGCGTGCGGGAGCTGGGGGTGCTTTGTACTGAGCCGGCAGGCCAGGGTGCAGTAACTCTTCCCCTGGGCGAATGGCTAGCGTGGGCAAGGCTCCATGCTGAATCTCTGGTGTGCTGTGTAGCAAGTGTTTGTGCACAACGGCACAAGAGCCTATGCCACAGCAGCACTGTATTGCTTTCCCGTTTGGATTTACTGGCTTGTATTTCTCTCTGCCGGGCAGTCAGGGCCAGGCCGATCTTTGTAGTCTTGCGTTACGGCGGCATGTCTTCCTTCGTTCGACGTGTGGGCACGTCGGGGTCGTGCAGCTGCTGAGACAGACATGCCGGTGACGTCCCGGAGAACGCAAGAGCAGCCTGTTCGTGTCGGCATGTCTCCGAAGCGTACAGGCGCAAAAAGAATACACATGACACTCGTACCCCTTGTGGGGTCGCGTGCCACAAGATGGGCACACTGGACACTGAGCCGCCGACGGCCCAGAAGTGAACTCAAGACTTTTCTCCGATGTTGCTTCTTCGTTTGTGCCGCCTTGGTTGCGCCACGCTTGGGGCGACATCAAAGCAAAATCCGAAGAGTGGCCCGAGCCGCGGCGGGCATTAGGCCAGGCCGATCACAAGGGAGAGGCCACGAAGAACGTGTTAATGGAGACTTCTTTCGAAGAGGCAGCTGGAGGGCGGCGGAGGGGCGGTTTGTTGCTGCACAGACTCAGCCAGCCGGTGGAGCTGTCTTCCATCGCTGACGACGATACCCACGATGGGCTTGACACAAGTCGACTCACGATGCTATTCCCTTCCATATTGGATTCGACGGGTCGAGTGCTGTGCATGTTCACGTTGCATGCAACTGCGCTGGCATTGACTTTGGCTTTGGAGCTCTTGGCTGTGCAGAGGCAAGAAGCGTCAAGATCCCGCATGCTTGATCCCCAGCACTGGCGACCGAGCGGTGAGAATTCATCCGTACATCCCTACGTCTTCAGGCCACAGGCAGAATTCATAGGCAGTTGCGGCCTGAAGCAGCCGAGCTTGATCCGATTTGGATCCCTCTCATCCCTGCGCTTAGGATCGGAGCTTGACGCTCAGGGCACCTTGCCGTCCAAACTGGCCCGTCTTGAAAGGCTGCTCTCCGTGATGGACAGTGGGGGGACGGGAGGAGAGCACCGCCAGTGGAGCGTACCCGAGCCGCGTTCAGGAGGACCTGAAGACGCCCAAGTCCGGGATGCTCACTACAGCTATGCGGTTTCTGAAGGCCTGGCCGCTTCCGGGTTCATGACCTCAACGGCCTTGCCCGAACTGCCAAAGCCACGACAGTCTGTGCGCGAATTTTGGTGGCTCTGGACGCAGAGGTGCCGACCGTGGGATCCTTGAACCAGCTGAGAGCGATGAGCTGAGACCTCTCGTCGCTGACATCACATCACAGCACTGACGGGCCTTTTTTAGCTGTGAGTCCGTCGCGGGTAAACGAGCATGAGCCGGGTGCTGCTGGAAGAGGCTGAGCTGCAGATCCATTATTCCGGCCAGCACTTTTGGGCCGCGCCCTTGGTATCACTTCTTGCTGGTGAATCGTGTCTTCTTGCTTCGATTCTGACAGTGTTCTTGGTCGTGAAGGTATGCAGGGCACCGTTTGCTGGGCCAAAGACCAAGCACCCGAAGCCCTAAAGCCTGAGAGTGCCGACTGCTTAAATTAGTGGAGATGTTTACTGAACCCATAAACAGGTGGCACCCAGCCATCTGCCCCGAAAGCAGGGTGCCTCTCTATTCAGCCCTTGACCCGAACGCCTTTTCTTGTTGGTTGGGTTCGCCAGCTGGACCAGAAGCAGCCCGCAAGTCTAATCCCGCCCGCAGTCAGAGTGCCGGCCCCAGCCCAATGCAGTGATCCTCCGGTTGAGCAAAATTGAAAGGGTCACACAGAGTCCGTAATCATCCAGATAACCCCGGCGCCCTGTTGGACTGTGAAGCTCCGATGATTCCCGATGTCTCTAACGCATCTGCCAGGTTAAGACAAAGGGCGGGCACCGTCTGGACGACTGGCCCTCGGAGATTTCCTGACACTTTCAACTTGTGATTTAAGCGATCCTGGGCCCGCCCCCCGGGAGGCCATGTTCATCCCCTGCCAACGTGGCCATCGGCTGCCTGAAGAGGTCGAGCGCGACACATGAGATGATGTATGACATATACTTTTGTAGCCAGCGAAGACGTGGGCAGCCAGGTGTCCAATGTCAGCGACCAGATTCCTTTGAACGAGGCACCCCCCCTCAAAGCCACGGCCCACAGTTTGCTTTGATGCTGTGGCGAGTACCATTCCTGGAGGGACACCTGAATCCTACGCTGATCTGGCCGAGACCTCAGACATGCTTGGAGCCCACGCTTGAAATAGCCAAACCCTGGGAGGTGTAATCCGAATGCCGCGTACTACGAGGCCATGGTGTACCAGGCCCGGCCCGCTGGCAGCCGCTGGCCAGAACGCCAGAAGTGCTTTCTGCCTGAGCTCAGGCTGGGATTCTGAAGTTCTGGGCCAACCAGGGCTGAGAGCCAAGCCAGAGGAGAGGGAGGGCGGCCGGGAAGGCCCAAAGGCCATCGGTCCGCCGAGGCTGCAACCTTTTCCTCTTCAACTATGCCGGCTACGGGTTCCTTCTACGGCATCTAGAATCTAGAATCAAAGCCTCTAAGCTGTGATCATCTGTGATCTCTGTGTGGTGCTCCCCACAACTCAGGCGCTCGTCGGGGCAACCTTCACCTTCCAGGGTAGCCGAGGACGCGACCATGTCGAGTTGAGTGCTGCGAAGCAACGCGATACGAAGCGTGAGGACGGGGAGGCTGTGGTGAACTTCCTGAAGAGCACCGAGCCTAAGATTGCGCCAAATTGCATGGCCTTTTCTGATCGTTGGCCGGGGCGTTTAAGACCTCAGGTCGGGGAGTTGCAAAGCTGGGGATCTATGGGAGGCCGCCTGGCTACGTTCAGAAAACTGGATAATAGACTTCGCCTGGAGAGAACATAGGAAATCGCCGAGTTTCGATGACAAGGGTATGTCGGTATGTCCTCTTCAGGTTCGGTGCTAGCCGTGGGCGGCTTTAACGAGAGGGCTTCGGCTTCGGTGTGGTCTCCTAGTCGCATGGTGTTGGTGCTTGCTTCTTCCTTCGTGCTGATCGGCCGACCAGTCATGTGTTCCGCGCACTGTAAAAGAAACATCGCTTCAGAACAGTGTCGCTCCAAATTAGGAGTTGGGGTTTGGGTGATGACTGCGTTATCATTATATGCATGTTTGATGAACCCCAGAAGAGTGGAAGGCCTCAGGAGTGTGCAGAGGCAACGGCGTGCGTGGGAAACCAGCTATCGATTGAGGAGTAAAGTCTAGGGTTTGATGATGTTGGCTGCAGAAATTTGAGGCTTAGGTGTCGGGGTGACTCCTGTCTCTTGTTGGGGAGATGGTTTCAGGTTTCGGGTTCTGGGTTTGGGCTTCAGGAGGATGTAAGTCTCGAAACTTGAAAGTTCTTGGGTACGGTCCCATAACGTGTTAACATGTCACGAGATACTTGGCACTGTTCTGAGCCAGGCTTCCCGAACGGCACCCGGTTTGATTCGACTTTTACTTGAACGAAGGCTCAGACAAATGTAGCTGAGAACAGCCGTGCCCCCATGCCAGTTTAAGACAAAACAGATCGAGTCGTAGTCCTGAGCATATCTCGGTCACCTCGATCAAAGGTAGGCCATCTTGTGCAGGTCATGCAGGCTTCATCCACGACCTAAGTCGTAGGTTGTCAACTTATGACGGTGTGCCGAACTCAAGATTGTCGGGCCCTGCCCCACTCAGGTCAATTGGAGGGATCGCTGCCTGCCACTTGGCCAGAAGATTCCCCGAGGTCGGGTGCCCAGAAGATCCCCGAAAAGCTGGAGCCAAATCAGGGCCGTTGCAGCCAAGGTGCAAATCCTCATCACAGATAGGACGCTCAAGCTGCATCTGTACGAAGTGCTAGCAGCTAGCACATTGTCTCTGCTCCGTATGCCTGTGGACCAATAACGAGGACCATGTCAACTCTGGAAGGTGCTGCAAAATGCATGCCCTTTGCTGCGTGTTTGCTGCAGAAGGCAATTCTCTGATCGAGCATAAACGGGAGCCTCATTAACATGTTTTCAATTGCCAGGTACGGGGGCTGGGCCGCCAAGGGGCTTCGAGTCACGTGGAACTGCCCAGTTGTTGACACTTTCCCGCTTCCAGCTTTGTACATGGGTTGGGATCATCCCTCACTGACCTAATGTACTTGGAGACTTGGAGGTATTACCTGGATGCCTGGGGGTTCGAAGTGTCTGGCTGTTCCTGTGGGCCAAGTAGGGATCCGGTACAAGTTTTCGGCTGGGAGGCTTCCCTTGGGGGTGTTCGGTCATCGACCCGTTGACCAACGCACAGCAACGAGGAATGTCCTTAAGGGTTGGGGGGGCAGGGGGGGGGGGCGAAGTACATCAGTTGTTCTGGGTTGGGTATCCAACTCTCTCGAGATACTGTGACTGTTGCAGCGCGGAGGAGGGGGTGGGGGGTGGGGGCGACGTGGAGCTGGTGTCTTGGGCTTCAAATCTTTTTAAACCCTGTCTTGCATGCACGGTGCCAAGCGTTGGTCTTCAGTTGCTTAGATTCTTCCTGGACAGAGCAAAGCCAAGCGAGCAAGACTAGATGTGCCGGAACACGGTTCAAGCCCCGGCAAGGAAAGAACGTTAGAAGCTAGGGCGCATGATTCATTGTAACTCTGGTAGCTGCATGCTTGCAGAGGATCTGTAGCACTGCAGCAGTGCATCAGCTGTCACTTGCACAGCTTGCTGAGAAATTTTCTGCCCTCCGATGGCACAGCTGGTGCAGCCGTCCTATGTGCGTGTGGCGGACTTGAGCCTGACGCAGGATGAGTTTGGTCGAATCTTGAGACGAATTGGCTTGACGAGAGATGCAGTGAAAGGGGCGCCAAGCAAGGAACTGCTATTCTTGCTGCATCAGAGATTTTTCCATGCGATGCCGTTTGAGAACATCGGCGTCTTCGAGGGAGAAGTTGTCTCCTTGGATCTCAAATCTCTGGTAGACAAGATGTGTGGACCAGATGGAGATAGTCCCCGGGGCGGCTACTGCTTTGAGCTGAACAAGGTCTTTGCGGCTTTGCTTATGCACCTTGGGTTTGAGGTTGAACCCAAAGGTTCGAGAGTTTTCCTGGATGATGGTGTGACTCCCAGATTGCCAACGTATCCACTCATGACCCATATGGTACTAGTTGTGAGTGCAGGCACAAGGCTCTTTCTTTGTGATGTCGCCTTTGGAAAAGTTGGTTTGGTGAACCCGGTGCCGCTTGACTCTGCGAACACAGGCCCTTTCAATGGTGGGCACTTCAGGTTGAAACTTGAGAGACAGACATGTCGAAGCCGACACTCTTTCCAATACGATAACTACTTCTTGTGGTACACAGAAGAAACTGACTCCGAGACTTCAACATGGACACGTGGCTACTCCTTCGTGCCGGTCCAGGACTACGATTTTATGGATGCTTTGCCGTGTAATCTGCAGGTTCATGGCTACTTCGAGAGCCCCTTCACGCAGCGACTCTGGTGTGAGAAGCGCTCTCTCGAAGACCACGTTCGGATTTTGGGAAAGCACTTTCTGCAGAAAACCTCCAGAGAAATGGTTCAGAGGGATATCGACACTGCCGAACAGCTGCAGGCTTTACTGCTGCAGCATTTCAGACTGTCCATTTCCAAAGGCATGTGTCAGCACATGCTTGGGGTCGGAACAGCTGCAGCTTCGGAAGACAAGTGGAGTCGACTAGTTGCTGCACGAGCCGGTGCTGGCTCTGCCGATAGTCCAGCCCGGATTGTTCTTGGCATTGCCTTCTCTTTAGCTGCGCTTGCTCTGGTTGGTTGGATGAAGCGCTCGTAGGATTAACTTGAGACGCCTGTACGTCATAGACGGTACACGTTCGAAAATGATCTCGGCTTTTCGGGTGCTCACAGTGTGACGCTTGGCAACTTGCCTTTTTGACGTGGATGCGTTGGCACTGTTATGCATCGGGACTCCGCAGCTGTGTGTTTGCGTTTACCAGCACCACTCGAATCAAACGGCGAATCAAGCGGGTTCTGTGGATGAAGCAGGGCATAGGCAGTGGAGAGAAAAAAGAGGACACATAATCAGCTCGCCGGGCAAGCCCCGGCCCGGTCCAAGCGAAATACGCGGAGAGTATGGCCGACACATAGACCAGCCATGGCCGATGCCAACGAATTGCTGCCCTTGCACAAGAGGCCACATGTCAAGATATGGCCAACATGTCGCGACGTGTCGTAACAGGCTTCCGGCCGGTTGCAGCGATGCCGAGCTACAGGAGACGCTGAGGTTTTCTTTGAAGCGCTGGCAAAGGAGCGGTCCCGGGGAATTGTTGGGTTTGGTCCTGTGGCGCCAGGCTCATCGTTCTGTTGAAGCGTAGCTGTGATGTCAGGCAGCCCCGTATAGCGACAACAACTTTGCAAGATGTGGCATGGAAGGCAAGACGCTCTGGAGCGAGGGTGTGCAAGGTTTCCTCCGACTAGAAGTTTCAGGTGGATCCTGGGCTGAGCCTGCGCATTCTGAGCTGCATGCAGCTTGGACTGAGTCAATCCAGATGCCCTGGCTTCCTGACCTGACGGCCTTAGCGGATGTAGGTTGAGAGCACGAATCATTGATTATTGTTCTTTTGCCGCTTACGAACTGATAAAGGGAAAGAAGCACTCCTTACATTCATGACGTTCTTTTCGTTTGTCATTTTTCATTCATTATATCCTCACGGCGAATTCTATCTCATGGCAAAAGACCCGAGTTTTCATTACAATAAACCCATTATTCTGAACTTCTGCACTGGATGAACATAACGAACCAAAGTGGACGGACGGTTCATTCATTCATTCATTCATTTTGTCATTCATCCCTTGATTCATTCATTCAGTCATTCGGTCATCCATATTCGTTCGTTCATTCATTTATCCATCCATGCATCCATCCATTCATTCATTCATCCATTCATTCATCCATCCATGCATTCATTTATTCAGTCTTCCATTCACTGCATTTTACGCTTGTAGTTTCCACAACCCAGATTTGACATAATGATATCTTGCTCTTTTCATGTAGTTCATGTTCTATTTACTTGCCCTTTTGGGCTCGCTTCCGCTCATTCTATCCAAGGGCACAGAGCAGATTCCCGCTGGACGTCTTTCACTGCAATGCCGTGGCAACATCCTTGGCGAAGCGTCGCCTGAAAGCAACCAGTTTTCCCCGTATCCTTGGATTGACAACGAGCAGTTGAACGGCATGGCATGAGACTCGTATCTGTGTAACAAAGGCTAAGAGAATCCTTTTGTCGGGCTGTACACCACTTTCACTTAACAGTTCAACAGTCTGTATAGCTGGATAGCTCTGATGCAGGTGGCTGTTGGCGCGAATGCTGCGATCTCTTAGACAGGATGTCGACCTTTCGAGTCTTGCCAGATGCCGTGTCTTGGTGCAGAGCTGGCGGAGAGCCAGATAGTCGTGGCCGCGGCCCAGCTGAGGTAAGCGCCACAGCGTCGCTGGTCGCGATAGAGAAGCAGAGTGTGTGGCCGGCTGCTGTGCAACTGATGTCTTCCTTGAGTCAGCACGAAGTGCAACCCGATACGACACTGGAGCTTACAGTACACGGTCTGTTCTTTTCTCGTTTCTGCCATCGTTGTTGTCCGAATGCCACTTGCACTTCCTCAATGGACACTGTACGGCCCAAGGATTGTTGCAAATGCAGCGATGCGGGCGGTACAATCTGGCGGCGAATGGCAGCAAGTTTTAAGTCTCTTCAGGGGCAGTGTGGAAGCCAGCATGCTGCCGGACAAAGTCGGCTACAATATTGTAGTCTGCTCTTTCGAAGAGCATCGCATGTGGGAGCAGGCACTGGCCATGTTACACGAAATGCCTGCGGCTCTAGTGACGCCTGACGTGGCCAACTGGAATGCTGCGATGAATGTCTGTTGCAAGGCTACTCAGTGGCAGCGGACAGTTGGATTGCTGCACAGCATCCCGCCCAAGTTACGTGCCAGTCGTACAAGTCACAATGTGGCAATCCATGCGTGTGAGCTTGGGAGCCAGTGGGACGTTGCTTTACAGCTCTTGGCGGCAATGACCGATACCGACGAGGCTAGCTTCAGTTCCACACTGGCGGCCTGCGCCACCACAGGAAGCTGGCAGGCAGCTCTGGACATCATGGGTTACATGGTCCGGAGTAGAAAGGAGCCTCGCGACTTCGACCGTGCAGCTGCAATCCGAGCCTGTAGTGTGGGTCAGCGGGTTGACTTGTCCCTTGAGCTGCTAGAAGCCACGCTCCGCAGTCGAGCAGCACGCGGCAGACTCTGCTACGACGCCGCCATGCAGGAATGCAGTCGTTCGAAGCTTTGGCAGCAGTGCCTGCAGCTCTTACACGACATGCCTCATTATAGTTTGTCCCCAACCTCAGCCAGCTATGACACCGTCATCAATTCCTGTGAAAACAGCGGCAAGTGGCACCTTGCATTGTGCTTGCTGGGCGTGATGCCTGCCAGAGCTGTTATGCCTGACCTTTGGAACTTCTACAGTGCTGTGGGAGTTTGTGCTCATGCAGGGCAGTGGCAAGCTGTGCTCCGCCTTCTGCTGGTGCTGCCTCCGGATGCACGACCTGATGCTGGCATTTTCAAGCATGCGATTCTCGGGTGCGATGATGCTTGCAAGTGGGAAGCCGCTCTGGCCCTGCTCGGCAACATGCCAGCGGCGAAGGTCGTTCCTGACGGAGGTGCTGCCTCTCTACAGTGGTCCTTGTTACCTTGTTTGTTTGACAGTCCTACCACTTGGAGTTGCAGAGCAGTTATAGTTATGCTGGTATCTTAGAACATAAAATCCTGCAGCCGGTATTACATGAGACGGTACACAATGTCTTTGACAGAGCGTAGAGGCAGTTGGTTGCCTCCCGACAAACTCGTTTGCGGCCACATGCTGCCCTGCTTTCACAGGTTCAGAGCAACTGAAATGCATGCTTGCTGTTCTCCCACCTGTTTTTGCTGTGTCTTCGTGGGCTCACCAGTTAATTCGTTAGGCAGAGCGGCCTTGAGGTATGGACCCATCATCAAGAGTATGGCCGTATCTACTTGTCCCGTCGCACGTGTGGCTTTGAACAATTCTGCTCACTGTTGTAGCCTGCAGCAGGTTGTTTTGATGCAGCGATCGGTGCATGTGCTCGAGTGGCATGCATGCAAGTGGGGCTGTCGCTTTCACGCTTGTCCGATGCAGAAGCGTGTATCTAGGAAAACATCATCTGAGGTCGGGCAGTGGCTTCTAGCATTGAGTGTCTTCGAAGAGGCCATGTTTGTTGGCAAGGCCCAGTCCCGGTATCATGATACGTCCGGGCTTCGCCAGGAGTGGCCACTCCAAACTAAGAAATCCAGACATTGGAATTTAGTGAGGTTTCCTGAAGCAAAAAAGGCTTGTTTGGCTCTGGTGCTTCCTAACCCTGCTTTCCAGTCGGTGGTGCTTCTAGCTCTCGTGTGCCCCTCAAGTCGGCTGCTTAACGGGTTACATCGGGTTTCTTATGGATGCTTGGGTCGTTTTTTGCACAGAAGCTCGCCACCGGTGCTGGATGGACATCCGACCCCGTCCACCACGGAAGCCGAATTCATGTGACGAATCAGCGAGCAGTGTGAACGAGACCAGTCGACGATCAGTGGGGCTTGCATCCACCTCGTTTGTGATTTGTGCATTTGATTTCTGTGCTCTTCTACTGTCATCTCCCCGCACGTTTTCAGATGTGTCTTCTCCCAGAGTTTGGTCATACTCACGGGTCAGAGGGAAGAAGAAGTTCGGGAGAGTGGGGCGAAGCACCAAAAGCAGAAGGGAGGTGCGTGCCAGGGCCGCGCCGTACGGGTAACTACCCGGCCCTCCGGCCGCGCCGTACGGGTAACTACCCGGCCCTCCGCCGCTTCTCAGTCCTCGTCCTCGTTGCAGGCGACGGCAAGCTCTTTAAACTTCATGCTGACGGCATGCCGCACTGGCGGAGAGTGGGAGCTGGCACTGCAGCTGTTCCGGCCCCTTGGCTCTCAAGCGGAGAGCGGGCATTTTGAAAGGACTTCACTGACTCTGAGAGGCAGCTGTCCTTCGAGCCGGATTTGGACTGCTTCCGTGCAGTGGCGAGTCTTCTGATTGCACTTCTGCCGATTTTTGAGCCCATGCGACGTTTCGTGATCTCTGCATACATCTTCAGCGACTGATGGCCCTTAGGTTCCTGTCAACTTCAAGCAGCATGGCGGGAAAGCCTGGCGTTTCTCGAGGAGATGCCAAGGCCGAGACGCTACCTTGGGCCTGGAGCGTTAAAGCTGCACCCTCGTCCTCTTGAGGCGAAGACTTGGACCAGACTTTGTGAGCAGCTTTGTGGCGCAAACACATGTTTCAGATGTTGAGGGAAATATGGCCCATCTCTGGCCAGCAGTGAATGCTCCCAGCTGCCAAAAGAGCTCAGGCACTGCAACAGTCGGCGACGCCTGCGAGAGGCTTTGAACGGGACGGTTCCGCCGCATGGAAATCTGAAGTGCCTGCAAGCCCGTAACGCTGCCAGGGCCGGCGAGTGGCAGATCGGCCTCGGCTTGTTGGTGCAGTTCCTGCACAGCGGCGAGGCCCAGGCAATGGTCCACGGCTGTCGATCATGCTTCAACTTAGAACCGCACACGTCTTTCGGGCCAGGATGTGCTTGCGCCCTGTCTGGCGCAAGCCATGAGCACCTGCTGCTTGGGTTTCTGCTGGCAGGGTGCCATATCCCTTCTGCTTCGCTGCGACACGCAGGCATGATACAGCGACTTAAAGCAGCAGAAGCCTTGCAAAAATGACAACGTTATTAGTGCTCTCAATCCGAGCTTGGGGGGTTCAAGAGTCCTTGAGAAGTGTGGAGGGAATGTCGGTGCGCATGGTTCGGAGGACATCCAGGATTGGAACTTCGTCATGACGACCTGTCGGCGTTCGGAGCAGTGGCAGGCCTGGGCGGCCTGGGTTGTGTGCTTGTCACCGGTGACAGTACCGAAATGTACCGATGAAAGGCAACCTTGGCCCTTTTCCGAGCTCTCCTGGACCAGCGTCTTCAGCCCGATGGGACTGAGGGCAAGAAGGGAAAGCAGTTAGGGGAGAGGGCTGCATGCACCTCGAGACCGGATTGCAGTTGACTCAGAAATCTCCGCCCGTGTAGTGACATCTGCATTCCCGGGGTGATTGAACAGAGAACTTCAAAACGAGGGGATAAACTGACGCAGGAAGAGGAAATCTGATTGTAGAGTTTAAGGCGTGGATGTACCCTGCACTGATTAAGTTGGTTTTGGAGTTGTTTCTTGATGCAATATTGAAGCTTTGCTGGGCTTCGGCTTGCCACAAGTTGACACTTTGCAGCTGTTGCTGGGTTTCGGGGCTTAAGGTTTGGGGGCGCCGAGACGACTGGCTCGTTCGCATCCCTGTTGACGGTTGACATCTAAACTTGCACATTTACCTTCTAGTAAGGGCAAGCGAGAGAAGTCATTATGCTGCAGGCACAAACAACATCGCAACAACTGCCGCCGCCGCTGCCGCTGCTGCTGCTGCTGCTGCTGCTGCTGCCGCTGCTGCTCCGCTGCACTGCTGCTGCTGCTGCTGCTGCTGCTGCGGCTGCTGCGGCTGCCGCGGCTGCCGCTGCTGCTGCTGCTGCTGCTGCCGCTGCCGCCGCCGCCGCCGCCGCGGCTGCCGCTGCTGCTGCCGCTGCTGCCGCTGCTGCCGCTGCTGCTGCTGCTGCTGCTGCTGCCGCTGCTGCTGCCGCTGCTGCTGCCGCTGCTGCCGCTGCTGCTGCCGCTGCTGCCGCTGCTGCTGCCGCTGCGGC